CTGAAGAGGTGGCGCACTCCAAGCTGCCATGTGCTGGCAGGGCTGCGCCAATTGAGACTATCCGATTAGCTAAAGAAAATAATACAAGTGTCTCTGTCTTACTGAGAACGCGTAGCCACCTCATCACGACGAAGCGTGCGTAGTTGTCGAAGTCGTGCCGACAGATGCAGGGCTATGCCATGTCGCTCACTCGTTCGCCGTGAGACAGCACGGGTCTCTGCAAGAGCCAATTCGTACCATCGTGCGGCTCGTGTTGTTTTCCCATTCTCTGTTGGGGTGTTTTGGTTCTATTTTTGCGCTATTTGCTGTCATAGCTCTACACCGGATCCCTACTGGATCTTGCCCTCATAGGCATGGCACAAGTTCGCACACTGTGGCAGCAGCAGAAAAAAACAATATGACGAAGGCTGGGGAGCATCAGTAAACAACATATAGAGCAGAGAGCCTCCAGCAGCTTGCCCAGTGCGGGGCTCCAGGCCCTCGTATGCGCCGTGTTTTCCTGTAGGCACACAGTACTCGAGACGTAGGTAGCTGAGCTCTTTCATCGGTCCCAGAGATGCGAGAAACGGCTGGACGAAATACAAGCTATTAGTTTGTGCTCAACTTTCTCAGCAAGAGAAAAACAGAAAGGACTCATTACAATCATATCTCTCTACATGTGCTCCGCCACGAGTGGTGCAGAAGCGGCGTTCGATGCACAGCGTCAGGTCCCGTCTCAACGGTTACCGCGGTGGCTCGGCACGTTGGGCACTTACTTTCTACTTTTCACCTGCCCCAACAACCGCTGCAAACGACGTGGCCTGCATCGTCAGCGGCCTGGAACCGATTACGCATTCGGGGCTGCCTACCGCATGGCGTATACAGAAGATTGTCCGCGTCGTCGCAGACAGGGCAGTGTCTCCAGTCATACTACTTCACAAACGTGTTCTGTCGCAGTCAGAGTCAGGCCGTTTGCCTGTCGGCCAAGGAGTGCTGCCTCACCGGTCTGTCCAGGAAATTCTGGATGTCCGCGCAGTCGATGTCGTCGGCCTGGCCAGGTCATGGCTTGGCCCGTCTCTTTCATGGTTCCTACCCAGGACATACCCTCGCCCTGGTGTTGCGGCGACCGCCTCCCCTACTTTGAGCAGCTAATGCGCCAGTACACTATGCAGAGCCTTGGCAGCCATCTGTCTTCTCAGATCCACTACCCGATCCGGCTGCAATATCGTGGCCTGTTTTTGCTGTGACGGGCTCCAGGGTGTGACACCTCGAGTAACGAATGAAGTTTTCCCATGGTTGCAATTAATTCGCGTAGCTACTTATACAGTGGCCGAAATCGAAACTGTTTCGCTCTTTATTGGGTATCTTCGTTGAGTTACTAAGCACTATAATGATCTCCGTATTAATAACTACTGAGCTATCAACTTCTGTTGCAGTCCGATAGTAGAAATGCCATTTGGTGGAAGGCCGCCGCTGTTGGAGGTGGCATCGGTGAGCGCTGTCACAACGAGGCTTTTCTGGCGCTCGCTCCGGTAATGGGGACTATGAAAGCAGAGCAGACATTAGCAAAGCTGGGGACGCAAGTCATCCAGCTCGGCAGTAAGATTGACACAGCCAAAAAACGACTTTGTCAGCAGGTCCTGCAAGTTTCAGCCGCTCGATCGACGTTACGCGGACTGTGTATGAACCACGATATGTTGTGGAAGACAATGGCTTGTCAACGAATTGCATCCTCCAGCAGCCATCAACCTCAATTTCGATGCACTCGCCTCTTGGAATTATGGACAGGATTTCAGCGCCGCTTAACAGAAATGGAGAAGACTTTGTTGAAGTAGTGTATTTTGCACCCGTTGGTGTCGGCGACTGCACTTCTTGGGTCGCGTTGGATCTTTCGTCGGCTTGAGTTGGAGCCTCAATAATGGGTGGTGGTCACGGAAAGCCAAATCAACCCGAAACTCTCGATTCTCCGCCCGCTCTTCGCTCAAGGGATCTGCTCCAGGAACGCGTACCTCTTGGCTTAAATCCTTGAAAACCTTGCGCCTCTTGGCAATTTTGCGTAAGACAGGTGCGTCGCGTTTTCCACCTGTGCGCGGTGATACATTGCGCTTTCTGGAAATCTTGCCTCTGCGAGACGTATTGGCTCCGTTGTATGGAGCGGGGTCCGCGTGCCTGTCTGCATTGGTGCCTTCATTGGTGTCGGCGTTGGTGTCGGCGTTGGTCTCTGCATTTCTGGTTTGCGTGCTTCCAGGGTCCTCGTCGTCGGGGCCCTCTGAGTCAGGTATTTCGCTTGTTCCACCTGGCGTCAAGATTGGATGGCCAGCATTGCGCGCCTGTAGCTGCTCGTTGCCAACGAAAGGAGTTTTGCCATTTAGGTCGTAAGCAGTGCGCGCATAGGTCGCAGAATCGTCCATGGTTTCATGTCCTCCAGATTGTAATCGGCAGGAACTTTCTACAGTTTAGTTAGTACTGTCTCAAAGTGCCTTTGCTGATATTGAACCGACTAGCGTTAGGAATTAACTCCTTTGATCTCAAGGAGTCGCTGTTGTCCGAGTTCATCTGGGCTGAACCATCATCATCGGATGAATCATCATTGTCGGCGATGATGCAAATTTCCATGGGTCCAGAAAGATTTTCGCGCTCTGGGTTCGCGGACTCATTGCTTTTGGGCTCGTCGGGTTCGGAGTTCGTGTAATTTTTGCGTGTGAGTCTCTGGGACCCGAAAGGTCTCGCGCGCGTGTTGGCAGGTGCCATGGTAAAGAGAGGCATCGGGAGACTGCTGGACACGGGAAGAAGATGAAGGAAGCAGAGTTGGAAAATGCAAAGACGGGCAGCTAGCACCCTTTTATACTGTCCGTGGTTCTGCCTCACACAGCAGCACGTGAGACGGGAGTTTCCAATGGCCTTGGGATGAGGGTTGACCTGCAGCCGTCGCTTGCAGCCTGGTAAACGAAGTTTGTGGCTTGTAGACAGAATCGTGTTCATTTGAGGGAGAAAACTGACTGAGGACTGCCTACCACCCTAGCTCCGATATGCTTCGTGTGCCTCGCATCCATGACCTTGACCCTCATGGTTTGCAACCACTCCGTGGTCTCCTCTTAAACGAACCAAGGGGCTTGCCCGACGGTTGTGGCTTCGAGTGAGGACATTTCCTACTTGGCCGCCGAGGGTTGCTTCAGGACAAAGGCAGGCCAGAGGTGATCAGGGTCTGTGGCCTGTCGACGACATGACCACTCTGAAAAAACTTCTTGATGGGGATGCCACTGAAGCCTGAAGTCTGCACTCGAACCTAAAGATGTCTTACAACTTTACCTACGGGGCGCTGTATGTGATTTCTCCCGGTCGGCCAGCAGGTTTGGGAGGGGCATCGATTGGGCGTGTGGGAAAAGGGCGAGCGTGCGTTGTGTGTATATTGAGTGATGCAGCTAGTCATTTCTTGAGCAATATAGTGCTCTCGCTTCTCACCTTGCATCATTATCCCTCTTTGAACAACGCCTTTCACACGACACCTGAAATGTGCCTCTTCAGGTGATCCGCGTGGGACCGGTTGACCAGTTGCGCAATGATCATGCGGCTGGAGTCGGTCAGACTTCGAAAGACATTCTCTCCGAGGGTTCTCGCATTCAGAAACGATTGGCGAGAGGGGCGACCCTGACGGCTTTGTCCAAAGAGCCTCTGACACCACTAACCAAAGCACCTCGTCTCCCACCGACTATCACGTCGAGTGTAATGATCTGCCATTGACGTACCCACAGCTGCCGGGTACAGAAACAAAAATAATGGAAACACTGGTGGATTGTGAAAAGCTGAACTATGCACTGCGACAAACGTCGACCGATAAAAACCAGCCGAGCTTGTCGGACCCAAAAGCGCTGCGCTCAACATTCGTCTGTACAGCCTCGAAACGCATGTAGTCACAGCTCTCACCCTCCAAAAAACTCATAACAGCGGCAAGGGTCGTAAAATCTTTTCTTTAGCGGCTATTAGGACAGTGGTTAAGCTTCTGTTGGTGAATAAGGGAGCCAAGATGCTGAGTTAATGCTGTGAGTTTACCGAAGAGGCGTGCGCACGGGTAACATTGGTAGGCATCGGCGACGGAGTTCCACGCCTTCTCGGTCACGCCTTCCCTCGTAAAGTCTATCACGTTCGAGGGAATCTTGGGGCAAGAGCCGCGTTCAAGATGATGAACGAGACTGGTAGAGCAGCGTCTACCTGCAGAGCCAGGACAAGTACCTGTGCCCGACGTGCAACAAGGCCTTCAGCCGGCCGAGCAGCCGGATCCACAGCCACTGGCGCACGGGCGAGAAGCCGTACAAGTGCGCGCATCCCGGCTGCGACAAGGCCTTTAACGTGCGCAGCAACATGAAGCGTCACGAGCGAGGCTGCCACTCGACAAGCGCCGCCCTCGGGAGTCGACCTAAGGTCTAGTTGAGGAAGAGGGGGGAACAAGGCCCGTTTGATGCAAACAAACAACGGAGCTGCATCATAATGCCATACACGATGACCGGGATAGGACCAGACCGTGAGTCAAGATGGCTGGGGGGAGGAGAGGGGGGCGAGGCTTACATACACAGACATGGTTCATTCAATTTTTTTTTGGAACCGTTTCTCTTTGGGTTCTGGCTTGCTTGGTCGGCGAGGCGTTTTGGGGGCCGGGAGAGGGAATGGAGATGGAATCTACCAATTGTACATTCATTCATTGTTTTATTACGCCCGGTGGCTTCCCGCCAATAGGGCTCACTAGCTATGTCTAAGTAACTGTTTGACTATTCGCCTCATCCATTCCACTGATTCCTGACGTTCTCCGATCGCTTCCACCTCGTCTTTCCATCCCAGCAGCTCCAATTGTACAGTCGAGTTCAGGTTCAGTGTCCGCGTGGATCCATAAAACTTTTTTATGCTGGCAGCCAGGATCGGCCTAACATGGTCAATGCACAGTGTAGCCTAGTTCGCACTGTGCACATGCTTCACGGTCAAGCTTACCCACCACTTCTGCATATCATAACGCCCAAGTCCATGCAGTTGGATCTCAAAGTAGTGGGTATAAATGGCCTTAGATGTCGCACACCAGCATTCATCCTATCTCGAATCGTCTTTTCTACAGTCTTTGTGAATTAGCTACATCAAGTTCATCCCGCTCAAACCTGATCATCTGCTTGCTCTAGTGCTGCACAAAGGTACATCACGTGACAAACATGAAACATGTCAGGCGTTGGCGTGCTGCAGAGAGAGGAATACAGAGTCTCAGCCATCCCCCGCCCTGGCTGGACCTCAAGGTTTCACACCAGCCGCCTGGCTTGCCTCATTGCTATCTTTATGCCAATCGCCCGACAAGAAATATCCGAATTCGGCCCAGACGCTTTCAACAACTTTGACTTTGAGTGCAATTATGGCAGTCCACCTGCTGGAACCTTTGATAGCCAGGGTTGGAACCCTGCGGTGCCCGACCCTGCGGTGCCCAATGCTGCCAAGGATGGAAGCCAGGATCCCTGTGCTTAGTCTTTTACAACGCCATTAACTTACAACGTTATTTGGAAACTGCAACTTCGAAAAGGCAGAATGATAACACTTACAGGTGACACTGTAGAAGATATCCGCGTTGCGCCCGGCGCATTTTGGAACGACCACTTGCAGAACGAACTCCTCGACGTCGTGACGGAGAAAGCCCCTGAGCCGCAATACAAGCCCGACGAGACAAAAATAACAGTATCAACCTCGAAACGCGCCCAACGTTGCCTAGAGAAGCGCTTCCGTGCACTCAACATCGACTGGAGTCCCGTAGAGAATAAACTACGATCTTGGAGTGACCAAGGCAGCAATCTCACTGTTGAAGTCTGGTTCATTTACAAGGAAGTTCAGACTGATTCCACAAACAAAGTCGGTAAAACTGGGCGTGGCGCTACCAAGCAACAACTTGCCGCACGAGACAAACTTGTCGCTCAACAAGAGGCTTCCGGGGTGCGACCTGTGTGGAAAGACGTCTACGCGCTGTTCGAGTGTTCCAGTTTTGTCCTTCCGAATCGTGGATTTTCCTGCTGGCGGGATCCCGAAACAAAGAGTCATCGCAAATTAGACTCAGACACCATGGACAAACTCATCGACTATGCTGAAGAGGGTCATAAACTCGAGACCCACGGCGACGTCCCGGATCGTATTCGCGAAGTGATATATAAACATGAAGAAGAGGAGGCAGAACGGAAAAGGCAGAAGCGAAAGGCATCTGATTCACTACAAAGCATCATTCGTATTTGCTGCCACGGGTCTCATGATGGAAGCTGCCATGATCCAGACGCGAATTCGTCAAAAGTCGCTCGTGTAGCTCGGCCAGACGTTCTCAAGCTCCCCGTGCCTGTGCATAAGGCACCCGAGTTACTCTGCAAGTGGCTCTGCAACCAGGTGTCCAATGAGAGATGGCAGTCTGCATACCAACTCGCCGGCAAGATCACTGTGGATAATGGCTACCACTTAGGGCGTATGTATGAGTCGCAGGCCTTCTACGCTGATTTGCTTGTGAAGGGCGGGGTGCTATTGGGGATTGCAGATCAGTTTGTCAGTCGCATTAGAGAATGGTTGGACAGCCTTTGCTCGGAGTGGACTGTAGGTTTTAATGTGTTTGGTAATTCCTTAGCTCACTACTATGGTTTGATGTAGAATCCGGTATTCCGAAAATGGCCTTCTGCAATATCGCTTCTGTCCTTAATTGCCGCAATGCATGCCTTTACGTAGTCGATGAAACTCCGCTTCCTCAGCCCAACCTGTTCTTTATGTCTTGACCTACTAGTTGTCTTTATAACGTCGAAATTCTCCTCTATGGGATTTGTTCTAGGCGTGTACATACAGTAAAAGACCCGAACGGGTGGTTGCACGACGGGATATGGAGACGGTCTGGAGATTTTGAGGTCTGCGAGACATGGTGACATTTTAAAGGGCCCCCTCCATTCGTAATTTGATTATCGACGTCAATAGGCCGGCATCTAGATCTTCTTGACCTGGCCAATCAGCCCTGCTTGCGAAATGAGTTTCGTCTCTGGTTGGCGAAGTAGAGTGAACCCAGGCACTATCTCCATGCTTAGTAACTCAACAAAGATACCCAACAAAGAGCGAAACAGTTTCGATTTCGGCTACTGTAAAGTAGCTATTCGAATTAATGGCAATCATGGGAAAACTTCATTCGTTACTCGAGGTGTCACATCCTGGAGCTCCTTACACAGCCAAAAAACGCCTTTGTCAGCAGGTCCTGCAAGCTCGATCGACGATACGCGGATTGTGTATGAACCACGATATGTTCTGGAAGACGATGGCTTGTCAACGAATTGCAACCACCAGCAACCATCAACCCCAATTTCGATGCACTCGTCTCTTGGAATTATGGACAGGATTTCAGCGCCGCATAACAGAAATCGAGAAGACCTTGTCGAAGTAGTGCATTCCGCATTCGTTGGTGCCGGCGTATGCACTTCTTGGGTCGCGTCGGATCTTTCGTCGGTACCAATCCGATACCTACTTTCGGGTAGAGTTGCTCCAGTCATGAGGAGCCCAGCATCCACATGTAAACTACGCTCGCGAGAAGCGCGTCGAAGAGGCGAAATAACGGCCGCTTCACCTCGAAAACTGTCTGACGTGGCGGTCTTCAGAGCATCGGCGCCTCGAGGTATTGCCTTGGCTAAGGTGGGGTGACCATAGAAAGCCGACTCGAATGAATACTTCTGGTTTCCTGGCAGCCCTTCGTGTTCTGCTTGAATGTCGTGTACGCCATAATTCCGTGAGTTCACGCTGTTGGAAGCCTTGCGCTTTTTGAGATTCTTGCTCGTTGCCGATGCATCCTCTCTTCCACCCGTGCGTGTCGCACTACTGGCTTCTTGGTTGGAAGCTTTGCGCTTCTTGGAATTCTTGCCTGCCGATGCAACCTTTCTGGAGCTTCGCGCCGCGGTTCTGGCTTCGTTGTATGGAGCAGGGTCAGTATCTGGTGTGCTGACGTCTGCGTCGGGTTCTATATTGCTTGCGGTATGTGCATTGATGTGTGCATTGGTGTGTGGAACAGTATTTGCATCGGTGTGTGCATTGGTGGTTTGCGTGCTTCCAGGGTCCTCGTCATCGGATCCCTCGGAGTCAGGTATATCGTTTCGCCTTGTTCCAACTCGCGTCATGGCCGTATAATCAACATTGTACTCATATGGTCGCTTGTTTCCAACAAAATCAAGTTGGCCATTCATGTCGCTGGCAGGGTGCACATAGGATGCAGCTTCACCCGTGTCCTCACCATAGCCATCTCCTTCCAGCTGGAATTGAACTTCTTTCGGAGGTTCTGTTGTCTTGGTAGTCGACGGAGGATTTTCTGGGTTATCGTCGTCAGGTGAATCGTTGAGGAAGATTCTTATAGGCCCAGAGTTCTCGGCCTTGGAGCTTGCAGGCTCATTGCTCTCAGATTCCGCGGTGTTGGGATTTTCAGACCCGTTGTGAGTGAGTGTTTGGGAGGTGGAATCTCCAACGCACATGTTAGCAGGTGCCATGGTAAAGATTGGTATCGGGAACCTGCTGTGCAGAAATAAGATGAAGGACACAGAGTAGGGAGCTGTAGATATGGGCAAGCAAGAGCCTTTTATACTTTCTCTGATTCTGTCTCTCACATGACAGGACATTGATTGCGCGTGAGCGGGAGTTCTCGATACCCTCATTGGTTGAGCTGCAGCCGTTGCATGCAGCCTGACGGACGAAGATTCGTGGCTTGTAGGCACCTTTGGGGGAGTAAGCCGCAGAAGGACTGCCTCTGCCTTGGCTCTGCGTAGTCTGCGACGTTATCCTCATCTCGATGTCCGGGCTTCAAAGCCTTTACTCCCAGCTGTGCAGATTGATTGTTGTCCAGTCTCCAGAGCGGAAAAAAAAACACCCCTCAGCTTCATCTCTCTCCACAGACGAGACGTCCGGCATCTGGTAATCTCTGTTTTAGAGCACATGCCAGCTTAAGCGAAAGGCAACGTCTTATGTTTCAACATGCAATCGCTTACAATAGAGAGCAGTATTACCTGGACAAGTCCGGCTTGGGCCATATGGGTTCAGGAGCTGGGTATGAACTATGTGGAACTGAATAACGCACAGGGTGTCCTTGTGTTCTTGTGCGCATTTGGCGTTCTTCTGTGCCTGCCCTGGACTCGCAAATACGGTCGCCGCTTGCCATGCATGGTGGCGTCGGTGTTGATTCTAGTTGGCCTGGGGATAGGACTATCAATGGCTGGCATCGGCCAATTAAGTGCAGACTGCGCTCTTGCCGGATTTTCTGCCTACGCGACAAACATCACATCCGTTTTCGACGTCACGCCTCAGCATCGTTGCAGTACTTGGCTGGGGGTCTATGCCCTTGTCCTGCTTCTCGGCAATTTCTTGCCCCCTGTGGCAGATGGCTACATCATCGCCTCCCAAGGATGGAGTGGTGTTCAGGTGGCTCCTCATCCTTATGGGACTTGCAACCCTGTTGCTTGTTTTGGCGCCGAGAAACTCTCTACGTACGAGACGATAGCGGCTCAGTCATCACAAGCACAGCTCTCAAGTCCGACAGTTGCAAGAGTACAACTGCAGCCCAGATACACGAACATCCCTCAAGAGACAAGCGAAGCTACTGGAGCAAATGACCCTATTCCAGAGAAATCCGCAAATCGAGGTGAGCTACTGGAAGTTGATGATCTCTCCATTCCATCTAGTTGTCTTGCCCGCGGTGGTGTGAACTAGTATCATTATCAGTATTGGAACCTTTCTGACCAAGTTCATATTCGCGACCCAGGCTAGCTTTTTCGCCGCGCCTCCTTACAACTTTGACTCGCGCAAGCTGGGCCTCATGTACTTTGCTGTCATCATCGGCATGGCTTTGGGGGCTGTCTGAGGTGGGCACTTTAATCGTGACTGGCTGGTTCTCTACCTCGCTCGACGAAACAAGGGCATTTCCGTGCCGGAGCAGCGACTCTGGGCTTACTGGTTGGTTTCATTTACAGCCAGTGCTGCACTGATCTTGTATGGCGTAGGGGCAAGCTACGGATGGCGTTGGGCGATACCGTGCCTTGGGCTGGGTCTCGTGGGCTTTGCGCTCAATGCCGGCTTCCCAATTTCCATGGGCTACACACTGGACTGCTACAACGAGCTCTCTGGAGAAATAGTTCAGCTGGTCAATGTCCTGCGCAACCTGGTGGGCGGTGCCATGACGTTCAATATCCAGCCTTGGATAGACCACGACGGCGCTCGCAACAACTGCATTATCATCGCTGTTCTCGTGTTTCTCCTGAACAGTACGTCGGTGATTTTCCAGATATGGGGCAAGCGAATGCGCATCAAGACTGCCAATCGATACAAGATGCTTGCCGAAAAAGAGACGCTTTTGAGTATACATGCACTAGCACAGTATAAGTAGTTAATGGCCTAAAAAGGAAAAAAGGGTTTCTTGTGCACGCCATAGGTCCAGTATGGCAGTGTTGAACAAAGTGACCACTGGTTCTCGAATTCTCGTTTATGCTCCACGCTAGATACGACATGAGGAAGCCACGGCGTGCATCATGAGGCTTCTTGCGGACAGTAAACAGATGACTTCTTCGCACTTCTGCGTAGTAACCAATCTAAATGCTAGAATCGGGTTTTGGAATAGGGGCGAGAGGCATTAGAAACTGAAGCTCAGCCAAGTTTACCCCGTGTAGGATATCATCCATATCCTGCTGCGCTCGTGTCCTGATGAGCATGGAGTACTACCTATTTCACGAGAACACACCAAACTTCAAGGCGTCAGGTATTTGGGCTATTTGGTGCTTCGATTGCCCTACTCCTGGCCAATCACATCGATCATTATACTAAATCCGTTTATATGGATTGTCCGCGGGTCCGTCGGGTCCGGGTGCGAGATCAAGTGGTTCGGGGCGGTACCTTCCGCCAATTCGCGCTGGGCTGTACTCTTGTGTCCGTTGTTGCACCTGCTGAAAATTTTTCATTCGCGCCCGTCCCTCCCATTGCCGCACGTTTACACTCGCCGGCCACTGATTCCTGCGACCCTATTGTCTCACTTCTGGTCGACTAATAGTCGGCTCCTGGCTCGTCTTTTACCTTGCTCTACAGGCAATTTTTTGCTCGCTCTGACCCCGGATGTCTAGATCTATCTACCTATGGCGAGACCTGTGTCTGCCGATCTGCCTGTCACCGTCGCCTCCCCAACTCAACAGTTCTACCAAGTTTGCAACAAAGGACCGTGGTTCACAGTCGGCCGTGCATACACGGGTTACCAGTTGCGTTCGGAGGGTGCCCAGATGCGCCACCGGCGCTACCTGCCGAGACCGTAGCCACTCGCACCTACCCTGCACCAAAGCATGCTAGTAAGGCGTAGAAGGCGCGACACCCGACCCAGAGACGGAAATAGGGAAGTTTCTCGGTAGATCCTACAAGGTGTACGTAGGCATTGCTGACTTCTACTATTCGAAGATCAACAAGCGCACGTAACGCAGCGTAGGTGTACAAGCTTGGCGCGCTCTGTGCAGTATCCAGCCCGAGTAGTTCGCGCTACTCGTTAAACATATACACTTTTCCTTTGTTTTGGGCGATACACGCCACCGACATCAGGGCTCCCGCTGGTCCCCGTACAAAGACCAGGCGACAACAGTTATTGGCGCAACGCACTCGTGGCTGCAACCGCGAGCGCATCACGCCAACATCATCGTGATCCCGCTGACGATATCGGTTCAGACAGATACATGCCATTGGGCGTGACACTGCTACAGTTGGAGGATGATGGCAGGGAGAGTATTCCAGGGGCAACTAGTGAGAACATGGGCGCGCCGTCGCCCTGTGGGGGCCTACTAAGCGGGTACGCCTGCACGTTTATCCGTAGAAGGCTCGATAGCACGTCTAAAAGCCTACTCTAGGGCGCCAACAGACGTAAATAATCAAATCAAATCAAAATCAAATCAAACGTAGAAGGCGCGACAAATACTTATTACAGCATAAGGCGAAAAAGTCATCTAATGACAGCTTATACTGTATTGATATACGATTTGAACTTCTGTCCTCTTCTTTTGTGCACGTCTACCCCCCACAACGGTGGTGCCTTTGACTGCTTTCACTACCAGCTCAGTCGATCCTGCTGCACGCGCCGAATGACCTGCATACCTCGTGAATCCGGCGTCATTTAGACGCATCCGAGCTGAGTGAGGGAAACCCTCACAGGACACGGTTTAGTAGGGGTAGTTGATCTGTGTAAATTCACCTGGCGATTGCTCAACCCATAGGACGGCCTGTAACGCTATGTGCTGCAGCTCAGCCCGCGTGTTTGGCTAGGCGGATGCCCTCGTACTGGGGCCAGATGCATCGGGGACGTCAACGTGTTTTCCATGTTCGCTGCGCCCATCATGCAGTCCATTGCTCGGAGCAAACGCGAGTTGCTGTCGTAGGTGACCGATGGGGTCACTGCCAAAGGATACAGACCTCGCTTGTGATGTTCGAGGTACCCCGCTGTTACAATTCCAATTGTTTAGCGCCGCTTCGGACGTTGTTGCCATCCAAGCCGACTGAGTAGCCAGGTCAGGTGTGAAAGGTAGCATTGGTACGGTAGAGCCGGATTCGCTGCCAAATGGGTGCCAGCCATAGGCTATGTCCACGGATCCAAGCAGACTTACTGGGTTTGACTCAGCAAAGCTCCAGGCGAGACTCGACCCAGGAGAGGCATTAAAGTTCTGTTCGGTCGTGATTGGCATGTTCATCCCTTCTGTTAGAAGACGTGATCAGTGTGGTTCATCCATATGCTTCAAGGTCCCTCGCGTCGAACAAAATTCACCTGTAGCGCTAGCGTAAAGATTGGGTGATATAGTGACAGAGGGAGTAAGCGCAACGGAGTCTTGCACCGGTCCCATCCCATGTAGAGATCTTGCCGCCATGCTAGTGGGGTTCCCAGGCGCAAGGTCTGGTGAGGAGGACTGCGAATGCGCTGTTGAGCTGCCAGTTCCTTGGCTAGTAGTATTGTCTTGCGAGTCCGCCGCCAGTCGTTGGTCGACAGGGCAGAAGCTGCAGTCCTTATTGAGTCGTATACAGCTTTCGCATCGATTCTGTATCTCCGGAGATACGATGCATCGAATTTTCCGGTGCCGGCAACGACCTGCTTGGGGCAGCCTCCAGGTAGTTGTGACTCCAGCAAAGTTCCAGTGGGCCTGGAACGCCATGCGACCACGCGACAAGCCATGAGCAGCGTCCATGAAATAAAGTGTCAACCTTACTACATGCTATCGGTGTTCTGTGGTACCCCAGCGTCTTACGCTTCTTGAGCCCCGCTGTAGCGTCCTCCACAGTGACTCGGGTAGGCGCGACGTTAGTACCAGTAGTACGATGTGGTTACAGTGGGCCATCCGAGGTATCTCCAAGTGTGGGTCACACTGCGAATCTAAGCCCGATAAAGGCAGAAATGCAGGTACTCAGGCTTAGCTAACTGTCAACCCACTGAACTGCGCTGCACAGATTTTCTACTGATAAAGTGAGCTTT